AGTAGGGGCGGGGCAGAGGAGAAAGGCCTCTCCGCGCCTTCTCGTGCCTCTGTTTTGGTTCGTTTTTGCTTGATGGTCACTTCTCCTCCCCCCCTCCAGTTAACCAGAGTTGATACTATTTTATTCACTTTTCAACATTTATAATTAAGCCCTTTCTTGTGTGGCCTCGTCCTCCCCCCTCATGCCCGGGACAGCCTCTGAAACATGTTAGGCCTCCAGAAGGGTCTGTCGGGTGACTGATCTTTACATTGGAAAAGCCGAAAGCCGGCATCTGCCTCTGTTTAGCAGGAAAGCTAGCATTGCCTGCTATGTGGTATGATACGTGCTTACCAAATGCTTTTCAGGGCACTGGGTAGAGCAGGCGGCTAAATTTAAGATGAAATGTCCCCATCTTTAAGAACAGGGTGGGTGTCCAGCCATTTCCCCTCAAAGAAGGAAGCCCGGTGTAATTCTTGAGCATTCCTTTCTGCTTTGAATTGGGTGGCGGTCAGTTTACTTCCATACCCAGCCCCACTTGATGGCCAGTGAAATCCTAAGACTCTTCACAACAATACAACTCAGACCTCAGGGCTCTTGAAAATTGTTGGGACCGTTGAAAAGCTTGCAATTCTGTTTTTGATGCCTGAAGTTTCATCTAGCAATACTATCCAGAATCTAAATATCATCTAACATGAAGTCCTTTGGTCGTGGGTCCCTACCTTATATTCTCTCCAGCCCATGGTGTTCATCCTGCCCTTAGTGAAGTGCTGCAGTGTGTTTCTTTTCCCTGTGACTGGGTTTTATTGGAAGCTGCATATATTTATATGATTGTTTATACTGTACAGATGTAAATTACTTTTTGGTATACTCAGTGAAAGTAATGATCTTTTTAAAAATTCACTCAGATTTATGATTCCATAATCTTGGTGAATACGCCAAAGATACCTGGTTGTTCTTATTTTGATATTGAACATATAATCGATGGTATGACAAGGCCAGCTTCATTAATCTCCTTCATAAGTACTATAATATAATAGTTAATTTTTCCATACAAGGCCTCCAATTATCTCCTTGATTCTTGGTAACAGCCACAACCCCATTTTTCATTTTTATTACCTACCAGTTAATTGCATGAATAGGTTTTGCTTTCATTTCTATGTGATTTTCATTAGACAAAGTGGCAAGTGTTAACTCTTGCTGCTTTTTAGTTAGTAAGCATTTCAGGCTTTTAAATCAGAGATTAGCAAAGGGAAAATAGGGTTTTAAAAATGTTTTTATATAAATGTGCTTTCTAGCCTCAAAATTGCAGATTACTACTTCTAACTTTTACTCTTTTAGAAAAGAAGAGGCTTATTTGGAACCAATAAATTCTGTCAGGTAAGGAATATTAGCAGCTAGAGCTATATGGTAGGGTTTTCAGCATTATTTACCAATGAATCTCAGTCTTCTCAATCCACAGAGTGCTTTCTTGTGCAATGTGAACTAACATGAGCTAATTTAATTTGAGTGCTTACGAAGGAATTTGTTAGTTTAAAAGTGATATAAACATTTTAATAAAGATGTTTGGAGACACTTGCTCATTTTTAATAATCAAATGTCTATGAAATGTCAGTTGAATCTTTAAAAATAAGAGTTTGTTATATAATTGCAATACCTCTGATAATTTTCCTCAGTATTCTATATATGAAATTCTTATGATAGATATAGTTTGACTACACTAAATTGAATCACTTTGCATGTATCACATTTTAGGATTTATAAGACTGTTTTAATTCATCTTGAAAGTTTTATTCATCCTGAAAATTGGTGATTGAATAAAATGATTACCATTGATTTAGTTATACATATCTCATTATGATTATAGAGAAGTTACATTGCATTAATGGAGGGAAAATTTTAAGTTAATGTAGGTTTACATCATAATTATTTTCATCTAACTCTTATAGTATTGTGAGAATAAGAAAAAAATTCAGATTTTTACCACTTTACACTTTAAAAAAAGAGATAAAGACAGAGATCTGAAAACATTTTCTATGTTCTTGACAAGTCTGGATCCCACTGAAATGACTCAGGTATTTGTAATTATGGCATCAGATGGAAAATACACAAAATATCATCTAGACGGTGTGAGTTTCAAGATAGATGATTTGGCAAACGGAACATTCTTGTTTTTAAATAAATTCTTAAAAGATATGTTTTTATTTTTTTAGAGAGAGAGAAAGGGGGAGAGAGAGAGAGAAAGGAACATCAATGAGGGAAAAACATGAACATCGGCTGACTGCCTCTTGCAAGCCCCCGACCAGGACTCGACCCTGTGACCGCCTGGTGCATGGGTGTCAACGTTTAACCACTGAACCACACCAGCCAGGCTGGGGCATTCTTTTTTACACCACTTCAAGTTTCCTTTTAACTAAATCATGTTCCCCAAATGATGAATAAGAAATATAATTATAGAATTCTGTGATTAGCAGCAGAGAAAGTAAAAGAGATTTAGGCAGGAAAAAACAAGTGAATCTTTCCCTGAAATACTACCTCTAAGAAAACAGAGAATCAAGAGGAAAATAGAAATAAATCTCTTGCAAGTGAGAAGCATGGAGGATGAAAGTTTTATATGATGGGTGATGAGGGACGGAGTAGAGGGCTGGGTTTATGTCGCTTGATTTTATGGGTACGAGTGGGACTGTGTATGTAAAGTAGAGAAGCCAGCTGCGGTGAGAGTTTCTTGAGGGAGCCGCCTTAGCTGGCTTGCAGGGAGCAGGTGGCTGGGAGCTCGGCTGCCTTTGGATCTGGAGAGCTCAGCCACCGGTCACCTCTCAGGGCAGAGAGCTTCCAGCCTTGGGAACATAAATGGAAATGTTCAGGCTCATGTGCAAATAGGAGATTCGAATAGCATAAATTTGTATCGGGAGTTATTTTTAAAATTATGTAGGCAGACAATTTTTTAAAATTTGAGGGGACATTTATATTCAAGGGTAATGTTAGAGCTGTGAACCAATATCTTGGTTTACTAAAAACTTAGAACAAGATTTTTGCAGCTGTACCTTTTGTCTATGTTTCTGTATTGTGGTATGGGAACAACTAGGATGTACCTATTTATTTTAGATGATGAAGGTTTTCATTTTTTAATGTTGAGTAATAGGAAAGCATGTACATTAAAACTTTGATTTCATAATTATTGCTAAGTTTTTTAAAGTCTATTTTAATTTGATTTAAAGAAAAATATTAACCAAATAATAATAAAACAATAGTATGTGGAGGACAGAAGTAATGAAAGTGGCATGTGAAACCTGGTGTTTGAGGGTGTTCATGTAGTTTTATCCCATGTAGCTTATGCAGCACCAAATGTATTTTGTAGAGTCTGGAAACAGAAAATATCTCAATAAAATGCTCTTATGTTTTAATTTTGCAAAAACTGTAGTTGTTTTTTTATCCTACCAACATAGGAAGGCTATTTTCCTGTCCAAAGTGATTTCCATTTCTAATACCAATCAGGAAGTATAGTTTCATGTTTTACAAATGGATGAATGAAACTTAAGTGTATGCACTTGTGAGTAAATTAAGAAAGTGAATATTCAGATTTCCTTTGCCTATGGATGCTTGTTTATTTTTTTATTCTCATTAAATACAATTTAATATAATCAATTATTGTCTTGAACAAAACAAATCCCCAGATTTTCCAGTAATTTTATATTACACTTAATAGTTAAACATAATAACTATTAACAATTTTTTCTTATACTTTTAAAATTATTGTACATAAAATTGACTTTGGGGGAGTGTGTATAGTTCTATGAATTTTAACACATATATAAATTTGTGTAACCACCACTGCAGTCAGGTTATAGAATTGTTCTATTACTCCAGAAAACTCCACTCTGAATTCTGAAGTATCCCAAACCACATAACTGTTTTTATTATCTGTTACCTATCTTAAACTTGTAGCAAAAATAGGCTACTTTACTATTCAACAATTCTGTAATCCAGCCTTCTTTCTAATGTATTTAAGTTTTTCTAATTGCCAATTTTGCACTTTGTTGATTTATACTCCTGACCAGGGATAGTCTTAATTTCTCCTCTCTACCAAATATCATCAACTAATTTAAGCTCTAACCTCAGGAGATTTCCTAGACGATGGTGTCAGTTCATGTTACATCTGTTTACAAGTAGTGTTTTGTTCATTGTTTTTTGAACTGCCAGTTGTCCAATCTTAATGCTGGAGATTATTATCTGGAGTACACAAGAGAATCACTGCCGTGTCTCTTTTTATAGGCTCTGCAAATAGTGCTTTATCTTTTCCCAAGTATTTTCGTGGCTTTGTGCCATACTTTTTCTGTGGTTGAGTACTTTCATCACTGTATATTTTTCTGAATATGTATGGTATATGCAGGAGGAAAGTCACAAGTTATAAGTAAAAAAATTTTACTTGATCAGTATTTAAACAAGGGTTGCATATCAACCAATCTGTTATGGGCATTTGAGTGTACAGTTGTGACATGCATTTCCAGTAGAATGCATTTCATCTATAGTCCATGAAAAGTAATAAATTATTTTAAAATAAAGATCAACATTTTCTGGGCTGTGACATGAACCTGTAATTTATGACTTTGCCATAAATTAAAATATAAGAAACTTAAATATATTTGTAATAATTGTCATTGACGTCATTTCAGACTACCATAAGTATTATCACCTCACGTAGGGAAAACATTAACAAGTTAATTTTAACCTTGACCTTTGGATTTTAAATATTCTTGTTTAATGATTCTTTTAAGGTTTTTCAAGGCTCCTTATATACATATGATTTCTTGGGACTCTCATCTGATTTGTGTTATGATTTCAAACAAGTTTTTTGTTTTTGTTCAGTTCCTGGAAACAAATACATTATTGAATGAGATTCTTTATTATCTTTGTTTGGGAATGAAAAGTAAAACCTTAAGGAATAATACAGCTACTTTTACTTGCTCACACTATTTTCTATCCTTTGAAGTTATAAATTGACTCTTTTATCATTTGCTCTTCAGATGGATCCTGTGCAAAAAGCAGTCATTAACCACACATTTGGAGTGTCCATTCCCCCAAAGAAGAAACAAGTTATTTCTTGTAATGTCTGCCAGCTTCGCTTTAATTCAGATGTGAGTATCACCTTTTCATTGCTCTCTATAGTCTGTCAAGCTGAAAGTCTGATTGTTCTGAATATATATATATATGTATATATATATTTTTTTATTTACATAATCTGTAGCAGACACTCCTCTTGGTGGCCCACTATTTCAGTGTGCCAGGTTTTCAAGGGATTTCGATTAAACACTAGAAACTTGAGAAAAAGAGTGGCTAATATAAAAAAATCAAGGCTCTCTCTATGTAATCAGACTCACCTGTACCATTTTACACTTAATCTGACCAATTATATTTACTTTTGAAAAATACTCAAATAGCAGGAAATATGTTTTAAAGTTTAAAATGCAATGGAAGTATGAAAATAATTAAAATGCAACGAATGCTGAAGAAAACCGTTGTTATTACTCTTGATAACAAGTGTCACATTTCATGTGTGTGTGTGCCAAATCATATTAAATACCTAAGAAAATAATTTACTATACAATTTATATTTTCTAAAACATGGAAATATAGAGAAAGGTTTGTAAATTATTTTACCTGGCCAGCTTAATTATACTGTAGAAATAAAATAACATGAAATCAAAATAAATAATATTAGAATATTTATAATATTTAATTACCAAATAAAGCCAATGGCCAGTGCAAATCTGAATCTGGAGATTACATATGATATGTGATATTTCTTAAATGCCTTCACCCCAGAAGCCATTTTGCAAAGAGTATGTTACAGAATCCGTGTTTATTGGAAATACTAAAATAAGAAATACTCTGTGTACTGTTATATAATTACACTTATATAACTTTCTGCAAAAGACAAAACTATGGAGACAGAAATCAGATCAGTAGGTACTGAGGGTGAGTTTAGGGAATTGACTACAAAAGGACATGAAAGAACTTTTTAGGGTGCATATCTTAATTGTTGTTGTGGTTACACAACTGTTTTTGTTTTTCAAAACTCATAAAACTTAATACCTAAAAAAGAATTTTACTATATGTAAAGTATAACTCAGTAAGCCTGACTGGGAAAAAAATCAATGTGATTGGAGATATGAAATATTTTGTAAATAGAAGACTAATTAATGATAGAGACATAACTACTAGAGATATACTAAAGTACAATATTACTGTTAGATTTAAGGTAAAATAATTAAAGGACTTTTGCAAGAAAATACAGAATAATAAATAGTGAAATAGATCCAAGTATATTTAACAGCTTTGCATACTTATTATCCAAATTTCTACAGTCAAATAGGGAAATTAAAGTATCTATAACTTTATGAATATAAAATGAAAACACCCTACATAACTGACTTCTTATGAAAGGAATGCTCACCTGAAGACATGCTTCATATTTAGCATTTAGCAAGAAGGTTAGAGTGATATGATGTGAGGACAACTACTGGCCATTGTGGCTTTGAAGGTGAAACAAGGGGCCACAAGCCAAGGAATGTGGGCAGCCCCTAGAAGCTAGAAAATCAAGGAAACCAATTTTCCCCTAGAACCTCCAAAAGAACACAGTGCTCCGGAAATATTAAGATAGTAAATGTGTGTTGTTTTAAGCCAGTGAGTTTGGGATAATTTGCTACAACAACTATAGAAACTAATACAGTAGTCTACATGTGGATGTTCCATAGTTTATTTAAGTAGTCCCTTATTGGCGGACATTCAGGTCATTTCCAATCTTTTAGAATTACATAGATTTTCATAGTCAGCAAGTGACAGAGCTCAAACATAAATTCAGGTCTCTTGCTTCTAAATCCACAGCTCTTCCTATTCTATAATGTTGCTTCCCTTAATAACTTTGCTCATTTCCTTCACATTTATTGAGCTTTTATTTTATGCCAAGCACCGTACCAGGCTCCAGAGCCCAGCAGCAAATTGATTAACAGTGTGAATGAAAGCATCTAAGGTTTAACCTTATCAGATCCTCCCAGGACCTGTTCCAGGCCTTCTGCTCTATATTTTTATTACTGCATACATAGAGAGGCCACAATCTAATATAGAACACTCAATTAAGAGTCTTTGAATGTGTTCTAAGTCTTAACTTGATAAATCACTTCACCACTGTGCGCCTCAGTTTCCTCTCCTATGATGTAGCTTAAAATGGACTACATGATCTTCAGAAGGACCTTTCTAGTTCTATGATAAGAAATCATTTCCATGGCATTTCTGCTAGAAGAACAGGGTATAAACACCCTCATTTTACCGGTGGAACGGTTAAGACCAAGAAAGAATGGCAGCAAGTTTTGTTTTTTGTTTGTGTCATGGGTTGGCTGGGGTTAGTGGGCCAGTCTTCATTCTATACCCCGAACTTGCTCTGGGAGTAGGTTCACCTTTCACTTGAGCTTCAGGGCTTGTCAGTAATTGTCTTTGTACTCACTCTATGGCCTGGGACAAATGCATACATGTGAGCACGTGGCCACCAGCTTCCTTGTCACCACTCAAAAGCTCTGTTGGTAGTGGAGAAAGAAAGAAAATTTCTGAGTCTACTTAGACTCTAGGCAGTAAAGCCACGTAGTCTGGATGGCAAATTCACAAGTGTGACATATACATGTTCTCCGTTTAGTAATGGTGCTGTAATCTGCATAACTGAGCTCTGAAACCGAGCATTTTTTATTTGGGGGAGAGTTTATTATTTTATAATTACCCTATTTACATTTTAATGTAAGAATTGAGAAGATGCTCATCCTTATTTTCTTTAATAACATTTCTAAATCAGCCTGAGACTGAATTGCCTTCACTCTTCAGGGTAGAAAATATGGTTATTGAACAATCTGGAAGGCAGATTTGCACAGTAAACAGACTGCATTCTGCAGTTTTTCCATTACCCATATAAAATGTAGCAGGGCAGGCTTCATGCATTAAAATTCAATGTGACCTAGTTTAAGTGTCCCATAGTAGCCCCCTTTGTCCAGCTTTCATCATCTCAGTTGAACTCCACTATTGGAAAGCAAAAGGCTACAGCTTTATTTACACAATACAGTGTTATGCAAATGAGCAAGCATTAATCACAAACATTTCCCAAATGAACCTTTACAAATTAACACCATTAACTTTGCCAGGGGGCAGGCATTATAGTCCAGGAATAATAGGTCTTTCCAACTGAGTCCCAGACATTTGCACAAATGTGTACAGCACCCAAATCCCAAGTTTCTTCATAAACACCCCCACCTCCCAACACCCCCATCCCCGCTAACATGGTTTAAGCTGAGCCCTGAATGGGGTTATCCCAACCCTGAATGCCCCTTTCTTCTCCAATGAATGAATGAGTGTACTGCAAATGTAGTATAGTCATAAATTGATAAGCCTAAATCTGAATCTTTACTCTTTAGATGGGAAATAATGTTTCTAACATTAAGGCTTTCCAGGAAAATAGGTCTTCTGTACTGTTCTGTAGTTGGTTTTTAAATAATACTCAAAATTACTGGGCTTTTGATTTTCATACCAAAATACAGGAAACTAGCTCCTAATATAGGCTTCTAAAATATTTTTGAGGCTAACATTTCTCCTTTTGGCTAGGTCGTAAGTTGGCAGATCCCACATAATTTCTAATTTGCATATTAATATCAGTTCCTTGGAAAATAGCAACAGAAGGGTAAAGGAAACTGATCCTTCAACAGATTCTTACAGAAAATCAGGGCAATTTGATTCTCTTAAATGTTTAAAAATAAAGGTGATCATCTTTTATTTTTATTATTATTATCACAGACTAGTTCATTATAAATACCCTTAATACATGACTGGGTCCTTTATACTTCATAGGCAAATGGGGATGAAAGCATAATGATCTTTTAAATCAAGTTTTATATATTTTAATTCAGGAATTGACCCTGAAATTTTGACACTCAGCATTAATACCACAATTGATTAAGCATGAGGTGCAGTGTCCCTAATTGCTGACCCCACGGGCTTAGTCAAATTTATAGTATTGCCTTTCGAATAGCATTATAGACTTCAAATCGCTCACAGTTTACATTGTCTGTATTTCATCTTACTTTGTGGTTCCTCTGGGTTTTTAATCTTGTTGTGTTGTTCTCTGCCTTCGTTTTGGTTTTCGGTTATCTAATATCTCTGGCTCTCATCTTAGCTCACCGTTCCTTTTGCTGCGTTCTGTTTCCTCATGTCAAGACATAAGGAGATGACCTCATGCCATTTCGTTGATTTATGTTAGACTCATTACACGTGGCAGGAAACTAAAGGTTTGCTTAGAAGTTAAAATGGCAGGGGGACCAACCATTTGTATGAACGCTCTGTGGGCGACCTGACTCTCTCTCCTATTCTTTACTATAAATCTCTCTGAAATTTGAGAAAGTGAAATCGTTCAGTGATCACCTTCAATTCCCATGTGACTGCATTAGTGTGCGGTTGATATGTCTGCAGTGTCATTTCCCACTGCATTTTGCATCTTTGTCATCCTGGCAGTTTTCATTTGAATAAGGTTATTTACTTATGCCCTCCGGGGTCTTTCTGCCTCTCTCTTTGCCTATCTCTCATTTTTTTAGTTTTAAACTTGGGCCTACTTGCTGATTTCTTTAAGCAGTTCACATGACACAAATTCTCTGTCTTGCATAAACAAACTGGCCTATCCACCATTTGCCACCTCAGAGGCACTAGTGCAGTTTCTGCTAGAGGCCCTGGCACTCTTGATCATCCTGCAGAGATCTCAGCAGTCATGAGATTAGAGAGAAAGCCACAACTTTGGGTCCAGGTAAGTGTCCTTTCCCGTGCTCGGGGCTGACCCTGCATTTCCTCTGGCCACCATGCCTACCCCACTGCACCTCTCCACCAGCTGCCCTGAGGCAGCGAGTCCCTGCAGCAGCTGTTTCCCTCCCTGGGTCAGCGCGGCCCGAAACAGGGACCGTCGGACACCACAGTTGCGGGTGGCCCTCGCAGCAGAAGCAGGAGAGGCACTCGGCCGCAAGGGCACTTACTTGCATTTTCTGAGGGATCAGTTCTTCTAAGGGAGTCCATGTTTTGCTATTGGCTGCCTCATGCTTGCTTTTAACTCTAGAAA